ACCTACATACCTACATACCTACATACCTACATACCTACCTACCTACATACCTACATACCTACATACCTACATACCTACATACATACATACATACATATACATACATACAGTTCATTCCACGGGCTGAAGGACCGTAACTCGCGCCTATTGCAAAAATTGAAGTCTGGGTGAGACTAATCAGTGGGCTGCTCAGCCCTTCAGATCCCTCAGCGACCAAAATCAAACCCACCGACATCAGCCAAGTGGGTGCAGGCCCGAGCGAAGCCAGGGTTTTCTTTGAAAGATGCAAAAACACACGAGGGGTCTGCGATTGCTGCACAGACCGACCCAAAGCGTCGCAAGTCGCTTCGTTGAAGGCTGCTTGTCTTCGGGCCGCGGCCAGCGGGGCGCCTCCAACAAAAGGATACGCAAACGCCGGGCAGAGGGGGCTCTCCCAGGTTGAAAAATGCCATCGCACCTGATAGATCGAAGAGCAATGTGCAATCAAATGGTGCCAGAAGCTCAGGGCAGCATTCGGTTAGCTTCGCACCTCCTTTAATTTTATGGAAAAAATCGCAACACACTTCAGGGTCCAACATCAACAAGGCAGCCTCGACGGCTTCAGCTACCTGCTCCGGAAGCTGTGTCCATCCCGCCAAAGTTCGAGTTCATCGAACTGCTCCGTCAGGACACACGACACCCGCAAGTGTTAGCGGGGGTTGATGTTCATGCATGGCCTTCACGGTCGGCGTGGAAAGCACCCCAACGTGCCCTGCATTGGCTCGATGGCAGAAGATGGCGCCTCCATCTCGCAGGCTTCGCGTAACACCTCCCGCATCCCTTGGCGATGGTCTCACCGTGGTTGTCCGCGAGCACAGATGCGGCGATTCTGTCGCCATGCTTTTTGGAAGCGTGACACGCGCACACTGACCGAGACATAAAGCCTTGCGACATACTAAACAAGTCTCGATGAACTGTCCCTGCTCAATGTGCTCATGCAAAGACTCACCGTCGCAGAAACTTCGGATAACCTTGTGCAGTACTTGCCAAGCAGCGACTTGGCGCGCTTAACCAACCGTCGAAACAGGCCGGGCCTGTCAAGACACGCACGGCGCCATGGGTACTATTGCGGGTGCGGCAGCGCAAATGTTGCTTTGACCCTATCGTGCAACCAGACCAATGCGTCCCGTAGGACCCCAAGGTATAGGGCCCGTCAGCCCGGATCAGTGCCCAAAGGGCATCTAGCACGTGGCCCACCAACTGTCGCAAGCATCGAATACGTTCGATCTGCAACAAGGTTGTGTTCAATGAGGGCACAAATCGCGGCCAGCAAGACGTGTTGGTCCGAATCACGGCGGAGGTTAAGGGTTGCTCGGTAAATAGACGTCACGGTGTTGCCGAAAGTGCGGGCTTCTACTACCCCTACGGGTGGCCATGCTCCAACCCCGAAGACCAATTTCGACAGGACCAAAGGGATCCAAAGGATAGCTGGAAGCCAAGACCCTCGAATGCGTCCGCAAGCAATCCCGTTTCAGTCCCAACAGCCCCAGCAACCTCCCGGGCGCTTGCAACCGCAACACAGGAGGAGACGTCGTCCGCCCATATCAGGTCTGACAGCCTGCCGTCCCCGACCGGGCTCCAGTCTGAACACGCATCCCGTGGAATGCACGGAGTTGTGCTAGACCCCGGGTCAGCCCTTCTCGGAAATTCATAATGCGGGTCATCAGCACTCCGAAGTAAGGTCCGTACGGACCCAGGACGGGTCCCCTTGTTGGTTCTAGTCGGGTCAAACACATCCACGACCCTGCGTTCAAAACCGCAGTGATGGCTTGCCGCCATAGCTCAGCTCCTCCATGAGCTAGGGCTGATGGCCGAGCGGTCTGTTCCGACAACTCATAAGGGTCGTCACCTACACAAACTCGAGCCGCAGCCTCTCGCTCGTCGGCCGGATGACGGGCTGCGGGGCCTCGAGTCGTCGAATAGTAGGCAGACGCCACATCGGCGAAGATGACATCTGATGTCTCACCTCTGGATGCTCTCCATCGCATGAAAGCGGGATTCCTTGTGAAGGATCTGTTCCGTCCCCTGCCACCAATCGGTAATAGTTTTGGGCTCTGCGCCTTTATGGGGTGCATGGAGAGCCGCAACAGCGATCTGCAGATTGCCTTGTCGAAAGATCATACCAAGCCTGCGATGGTCTCTATGCGCAACCAAGAAAGATGAAGGTTCAAACGAAACCGGAGCCCCGTCCTATCCTACTCCGAAGTCGCACCTGAGCTCCAATTTAAGCGGTGTATGGACTTGCTGGGCGTTGAAACCGATAGGCAAGGGACCAAGCGCCAGTGGAGTCGACAAATCGAAGCCCCCCCCCGGCAAAGCTGTCAGGTGGCGCGGCGACGTAATCCGCAGGCGGCCAGGCATTCAGAAACACATCGCCGCATCCTAAACTGGCGTTCTGGTGGCAGTCTCGACCAGCAAAACGCTCCACGAGCGTCTCTAAAACCACCCGTGCGTGGAAAAGAGTTCTTTTTGCACGCATCTGCATTGCTCTGTTCAAGTAGGGTGGGGCCTAGCTCTATGTCAGGCTGTACGCCGCAGTCTCGCTTTCCCTGCGGGCGAACGTCAGCGTCCCGGAAATTTACCTTCATTTTCCCGGTGGACAGCTGGAAGGGTGGAGGCACGAGCTGGCGTGGCAAAGGGCCTTCTTTCCGGTACATCTCCGCCTGCATTTGTGCCCCCGCATACAAAACGACTTTGCGCGAGCAGAACTTCCAAGGATTGCAGCCTGTCGTTGAGGGCACAGCGGCATTCCTTCCGGGATCTGTTCTGTCTGAGCCGGAGGTGCATGGAAGAGAACCACGCATCCGACTAAGAGCAGAGCTCGGCTCACAGGCAGGAGGCTCCTATCAATGTAGGCACTCAACAGGCAACCTACTATGGGACCTGAAGGTATCGCCAGCATGGTACAGGCAACACTGAAGATCAGCGAAGACAAGGCAGCGCTTCTCCGAAGGGCATTGCCATGGTTGCCCGGGAGTGGTGGGCCGAAACTAGACCCGGTTCCGTCCGTCCTTGACATCAATCTTTGGTTTGCTGCCTGGCCCTCAATGTTGAGGCTGAAGCCCCCGTGGTCACCATCGCTGCTCCCATCAGATGTTCGTCACCGTCAGGAGATACATACATACACACATACATACATACATACATACATACATACCTACGTACATACATACATACATACATACAATGTGCTATATACCTATGTATATACACACACACATGTGCGGAAGTCCTGCTTCACAGGCATGTTGATTCACCGGCTTCGCCTTGATTGCGAAACTCAGTCCCCGTGCATAGAACAAATGCACAAAGCAGTCGTCGGTACGTCTCTTACAGTCCCGGCATGCCCAGCACTCCCTCGTCCCTATGACCGTGACAGCTGCGAGATAGCAGACAGGCAGCAACAAGTTCAGACCGAAATAAAGACTCATAAAGCAGGACAATAACTTAGCACAACCATACAAGATCCTTTAGGCAGGCATGCTGCAGCACGAGGCCACTGCGACCTGCTACGGCGCCGCCGGCAACTCTCCCTCTACTCTGTACTACGCGTCTTCGCGCCAAAACGGCGGCAGGCATGAAGGCTGTGACACATGGGACACTCGGCTCACGTAGATCTGCAGTGGATACGGAGAATTCTGAGAGCATCCACGGATCCATTGGAAGCATCAATACTTGGCTTTGACGGTTAAACTTTATTCTGACACTTGGCATCCACCTGCACTGGCGTGGTGGATGCGCTGATTGTCGTGGCCGGGGCAACCTCGCAAAAACTCGTCACCAGCCTTCTCCTTTGAGACATGGTCTCTCCGCAATTAGGGTCAAAACAATCCCGTTCACAAGGTCACAAGCTTGTGGCATGCTTGCGAGCGATCGTCGTCACGTTCTGAAGCTCGGGATGGGTCCTGAAGTTCCTTCATAGTTTTCCGATGTTTTGTTGCTCTCCGTCATCCGTGGCCGCTGTTGCCGGGAAATCCAGGGTATCGGGAAGCCAGGTCGTCGGCCCCTAGAACCAAAGCGTCATTTCCCTCTCTTCAGGGCTTTGCGATGACACGGTGGAGTCATACCAGGATTCGAGATATCGGTGCGCCCTACAGCCCTGCAGCCTGCGGTGTCTCCGAGACCGTCCGAATCGGAGATACTGCAGCGGGCGTTGCCACCGGCGTGACAGCAGAAGTTACCTGGGAGAAAGTTTGGACCAATGTGTTTGAGCTTTCCATGGAATACTCTGGCTGTGGATCAGTTGCAGACAGAGATACCCGCAGCGAGACATGGGTCGACGTTCTGAGTTGCCAGCAGAGGTGATGTCCTTGTCGTCGACGTTCTCTGACTCTTTGTTTGAAGGGCTCGCCCCTCGGTCCCGCATGCGGAATGACGAAGCAGTATGCCTTCTACTCCCTGGCTACATGATTCCTGGCTGCTTTGTCCTCGACTCTGTCTAGGTGCTACGGGTATGCGGAGACCTGACGAGCACACTCGCCTCCATCGTTGACCCTGACATCATCTCTGCTGCCTCATCACGCAGTGTCCGCTCTCACACTGCCATCAATTCGCAGATTGATTTGCAGCCTTCATGCGCAAACCACTTAGCATCATCAGCCATCTGGACCGATCTCTGAAGGCACGACACAACAAACATCCGAAAACCACAAACGGGCAGAATAGATGAGATTGCTGCCATCGTCCGTGCTTCGGTTCCCCTCAGCGCTGCCTCTGCTGGCACTCCGAGCTTCCACGACATGCATTGAGCTCTGAAGTGGCTTACACGAGCATGCAATTTGGCGCCCTCAAAGTGGGCATCTACGACGAGCGAAACCCTGCAGAGCTCCTGTCGGCACCGCGACATCTTCGGGAGCTGCGTCTTTGTCAGCTAAGGCTTTTCCTGCGACAGGCTACCCTTGCACCGTCCGCGACAGGCACGCATCTTTGGTCAAAGTTCCACCGCCCCAGACCAGCTCTCCCCTACCGTCTTAGAAGATCAGCTGGCTCAAGTCTGAAACGAGAGCAGTGACAGATTTCACCAAATCGAACGAGTCTGCTGCCTTCGCTGATGGCTCGCATGTCAGCTTTGCCTGTCACAAGCAGTGTTTGCCACGTTCGACAAAGTACGTCAGCCATTTTGCCAATGACGATGTGCAGACCACAGCACTATGTGTTCTGTGTGGCTGGACCTTCAGATGACGGTCTTCCGGTTGACTCACCTGAGGCGATCCCCAGCACTCGATCGTCGCTAACACGATGGGCAGCCGCCAGCAGAAATCGACCACAAGAAAGCTACGACCAAGCTGGAATGCTCTGACATGCTCTGACGACAAGCAAGCAGGACACAACAATTCCGCAAATAGTCAGCCTTCCTCGATGCCCTTGCAGAGATCCGGCCGACCTCGCTGGGTGGGGGCCTTATCTGCTGTTGATTGGTGGTGCCTGCGGTGTCTGAGGCTGGAGCCGCTTTCCGTCGCAACTTTGGCAACGTCCCGCTCGGGCCTCGGCCTGCCTCCGATGCACTAAAAGTAGAGACCCAGATCTCCAAGGAAGGAAACGACGATGGAGATGCCTTCGTCGACGCTCTTGCTGACGTCGACGTGCCCTGCATAACCACAACACCATCTTCTTCTTAAAATGCGAGAGTCGGTATCCCAGATCCTAGGAGCTAGCCATCCTAGCCACCCGGCCCGAGCGGCGCCTTCCACACTTCTGGACATGTCGGCCTTGCCTCCCATCGGTGTTCATGTTGAGCCTACAGGTGCCCTCCGTCCGTAGACAAATTATGAGCCTCCCAAAGCTTGTCCCGCTGGTCGCCGTGGCGGGGAGCCGCCGGGCCTGAAGTCGAGAGATGCGCCAGAGAGCAACCCGCTGGTGGCTGCTGGTCCTGTGAAGAGGTCGCGGGGTTCCGTAGCGGACGTTGAAGCCAAGATCCTGCGCAGGGCCGGCTCGAGCTGTCACAGTTTGGCCGCTGCGCTCCTCCACAGCTGTTCTGCCACCAGATTCTTCCACGAGGGCATGGTAGCCTCGGAGATACAGCCCAATTTTGGTCTACCTGTCGTGCCGCATCGGCATGAAGCACTCAGCCAGTGCCTAAGCCTCGAACGCTCCCGGGTAGACATCACTCTGTTGCGAAGTTCCTGGCTTCCCAGGCGTTGTCTCAGCTGAAAATCTTTGCAGTTCGTGTTTGCACCATAAAGCCATGAGCAAGGGCAAGGGCAAGCTGTATTGGCTCAATCGTTAGTCTAAACGAGGCAGAACCTGCACCTCATTCTCCTTCTGCTGCAGCCTGGGTTGGATGGCAGCACACCACGAGACGGCCACGACTGTCTGCTTTGTCCGTGGTCCGATTCTTTTCTTGCTGCCGCTTTGGACCTGGGCTTCACTCCGGGTCCAAACCTGAGCCGAGGCAGGCAGCGAGAAACGCAGCTGCCCTTCCTGTTGGTAGGGGTCCTTGCTTCCAGGCGGCAGGAAAAGGAGAACTTTGGCCCATAGCTCCATAGGCAAGCTCCACCAGGCCTCCAGAGACTTTGACGACGACCGAGGGTCCGAAACATCGATCCCCTCCCCCACCCCCCAGCGTTGCGTTGCAGGCGGGACGCCTTGGGCCGGAGCAGCCGCTCCTGGCGTCGGCGCTCCCTCGCGCTGGACCTCGCAAAGCCGAGCAGGAAATGAAGGGATTGAAGAGACATGAAGAGAAAGAAAGAGAAGGAAACGTGGTAAGGAAGGAGTGGGCAGATCAGGGCCGAGAGAACTTCGAGGCCAGGCCATCTCTATTTCCGCCCAGCAGCGTGGCTACGAGCTGGCCGGCATCGTCGCCCTCGAGGATGTAGAGCCGCCTGGCATTTAAAACTGCAGGATGTCAAATTTCAAGTTTTGTCTTGTTCACCCCGCCAGGCCTTGCATCCGCTGGCAACAGTATATGAAGCCGCTGCTGCAAGGGACCACCACCGAGAGCGCTCGGGGACACCACGGACTCAGAGGCCGCGATGCGAGGCAGAAGTTTCCTTGACAAAGGCAAGGCCGTCGAGCTTTTCAACGCAAGAGAAACGTCTTAGCTGAACACAAAGCGTGAGATGCTGAAGACTCTCTAAGCATCTGCAGCGGCCCGCTTTCAATACGGAGACTGGGGCAGTCTGAAACGCTCGTTTTGGGCTCGAGTGCTCCCACCAAGTAGTTTGCACCAGTTGTAAGGCCAAATATTTTTCCTTGATGTGCATCAACCACTGAGCAATGGCTCAGAAAGCAAGGCATTTCACCTGGAAGCCATTCATCGACAGCCTCCTCAGAGGAGCCGCGCTTGTACCTGGTGCTTGCGAGCCGGAAACACAACTCACCCGAGCTTGCGAAAACATGCTGCAACCAATTTCTCTGATGGCCTTACCTTCGCGCGTGTTAGGGGCGCTTTACAGGATTAGATGCCCGGTGCGTACCCGGTCATCTCCAGTCTACTCGACACCATGTCCATTGTTCATGATGATTCTGGACATCTCTGCTGCATAGCCGCGGATTGCAGTGCTCGAGCCCTACATACCGATTTGCTGCACGTAGGTTGCATCTCGTTGTTTGAATTTGATCTCCGCCGTCTTGCGAACAAAACGCCTAGTATGATGTTTCGGCAACGGTGGGCCTCGGGATGCACCCGAAACTGAAAACGACAGGTGACCTAGCTTCACTCGAGAAGTCGGACATCCCTGGATTGTAAATCTGTACATCTTGGAACCTCTGTCGTCGGATAGTGGGACTCTTCGTCTGCTTTTGGTACATTCTTCAACTAGCTATGACCAACCAGAATCAAGTCTGTGCTATCGGCCGGAGGTGCGTCAAAGGCTGCCAGATCGCAGTCCCAGGAAACCAATCGATCGTCGCAATATGTGCGTCCACAACCGGCTCTCGCCGGTTATGCCCGCCCAGAACCAGCAGCATGGAAGCAACAAAGGCCACTACCACCTGCCGCCTGGGAAGTTCGTTTGCAGGTGTTGAGATTTCCGTCCAAGTCTCGCCCACGTCCGACGAAATCCAACAGTCCCAGTGCTCGGGAGCCGAGTTCCAGCCTCCGCCGACCAACACCACCTGCAACGCCGCACCCAGGACTTCTGGAGGAAACAAAGCAGTGGCACTTCAAGTGTCACGTGCCTGCTGCGGCTTGCCGGGACTTGCGGCCAGTCCAGGGCTGGCGCGGCGGCCGAAGGGACCGATCTCACACGTGCGGACGAAGCTGCGGCCAAAGTCTTCCGAGACCTGGGCTTGGGGCAAACATGCAAGCCTCTTCGGGCAGCCTAAGGACACCAGAGTATGGACAGACAAGACACTCGTTAAGCAAAGACGCCCAGACGTCTTCCATCGGGCGTGCTGGCCCCAGCCCACATGCGACGTAGACAAGTCCCTGCATGGAGCCTTCTCAGGGGTTGCCCAGCATCGAAGATGGGCTAGGTCTGCACCAGGCCTGCAACACATCCAGCAGCTGCCCCAAAGGCTTCCCTGCAGGGTGAAGACATCGTGGCATGTCGTCGTCTGACCGGAAGGCTGACAAAACTCGGCCCGCACCTGCCGCACCACTTTCCTGGGAAGTTGCTAAGCCCACGAATGTAAATTACCACTTACTAATGACTACTTACATTACTTACCGCCCACTACTCACTACGCACTACTCACTACTTACTACTTACTACTCACTACTCACGACTCACCACATACTACATACTGCTTTCTACTTACGACTTACTACTTACTACTTACTTTTCGATTCTTAATTACTTTTTGCTGCTAGCTACTTTTTACTACTTACTTCTTACGACTTACCAACTTACTACTCACTGAGCAACCCTTTGGCCAAGTGGCTTCGAACGGTGATTCCGCCTTCTTGCGACCTGCCTTCTTCATGGGCCGAGACCTCCTCGCGTGCCACACGATCGCATGCTTTACGCGGAAAGACCAGGAGTTCCGCACACTCCCTCCAGCATTAAACCCAATCAAGCGGTAGAAACATGCAGAAGCCCAAAAAGCTGCCGCAAATAGCCAAGCATGCTTACGGAAGCCAACCCGTCGCACCCGTCCAAAATCTGTTTCGCCGGCCGGCGGCAATGATCTCAGAACCCCTTTTTCAGAGCATCCGCCTCCCAGTGAAGCCCATCGTCGGTGCTGCCTCCGGCGCTCTAGCCACAAAACCGCGGATACGCTTCCTGAAGAAATTGCTGGCAAGGCACGCCACACGTCATTCTGGTAGTGCCTGAAGTCGTCGAAACGTCACTCTAACGGTATTGCTTTTCTAATCGAGAAAGCAACACCCTGTTGCACATAGCCTGTCAGGCAATGGCTTACAATAGCCCTATATAGCCCTACTATACCTACGTGCATTCGTCTACGCTGCAGTGTTGCCATGACGAATCATGCCCCAGTGGCTCTCCTTTGCGACCGCCCAGCACCAGCAGCAAGGCCTTCCACATCCCGATTGATCGCGCGTGCCGCGGTGACTCCACAGTGACTTGCCAGCCTTGCTGCGTGCCGACACTGCAACGGCGCGGAAGTTGCGCCGGCCGAGGAGGAAGGCAGGTCCTGAATACGGCGGGCCGTTTCTCCTCAATTTCTCGGAGAATGTTTATGACTGCTCTCGGCCTTTCAGATGCACTGTGATCTCTATCTGCATGCAGGCTGCTTTTGCGCATTGAGCCCAACAACTCACATGCTCTACGACCCTACGATGGAGAAACAGTCTGCCCACATCAGCCAAACATGACAGCCAAACCATGGTCAGTGCTGAAATCCTCCGCGCCTCCTTGTGCGTGCCGTGGCTCAGCCCGGCCAAGCCAAAGCTCGTCGCCAAATCGGGGCCCGGCCATGTGAATGCATTGGGGGGGACTCTCTAGGAGTGCCGAAGGGCTATGCGCAGGTTTGAGTAGGAGCTAGCGAGAACCTTTTGGCGATGAGCGTGCTTGTACTCGGTAGAAACAAATTTAAGCAAATCCCTCAAAGTCGGCCTTGGCTTGGCCACACCTTGGACTTCAAGACTTGAACCTAACCCTCTAACAGACATGCCAAACCCCAGGGTGTGGCAATGCCAACAATTCTTCCGACTACTCTTCCTCTCGAGACCGCCGACCTCTGCTTGCAGCTGTTTGGCGGCGGCTAGGTGGGAAATTTGACTCGGCAAACGCGACAAACCTCTGCCACACTAAAAGGTGTGTGTGTGTGTGACATGACGATGTCACAAAGGTGCGTTGTTGGCCGGGGTGTGGCGGAGCGGCTGTGCTCGAAAAACACGGTTTAAGAAGGGGCGAATTTCAGCTGGAACAAGCCGCGGATCTGCTGCACGACATGCATCCAGAACGTCACACGAGACCATCAGATTGAAGCTGTGCAGATCTGAATGAAGCACTCATGGAAACCGAGACTGGGCGCACAGCTTATTGCCCAGGCTTTCTATGGACGGTGCCGATAAAGCAACCTGATGTGCAACGAGATTGCGATCCAAGTCACATGCTATGCAGAAGCATCGCAAAACTGTTGGCATGATCCTGTGTTGGACCGTATGATTCCCAACCCTCCAAACAATGCTTGCAATCATACGTGCGAAGCACCGAATAACTTTTGAAGCACCATGTCCAAGTGCTCTGAGCCGACATCTGAGATTAGGCTGCTAATACGTCGAAAGTTAGATGTCACGATAAACCTACGCACAGCTGGGGGAGCAACTGGCGCTTCTGCCTGCAACAATGCGAAACAATTTGCCACCGGGTGATTTTATCGAAATTTTGGCAATGCTGGCTGAAATTCTGAGATGGCGCACGTGGACGAGCAAGACTTGCCGAGATTGACTTCGCGGAACAGTGTCCATGTCTTTGGCACGGCTCCGAGACAGATCTCTAATGATGGCTGCGAAAGCACTGGAGCTGTTGCGATCGCTCTTTTGCGCGCGCGCGCATGCGCTCACTTGACCCGCGCGCGGTATCCGGTCAAAGAGGTGGTAGCGGCTGGTTCGTGACCTTGGCGTACCTTTCCAACCATCGACTTCCATGGCACGACATGTTACATCCAGTATCCAGAATCGCAATCGCGTGTTCGCGGCCCAGGACCCAGCATGTCTCCGGAGTGCCATGAACACGATACGCCGGTTGTTGTGGTTGAACTGCATCCTCTCCAGGGAGTACTGCTTCAAAGCTGTTTTCCTTTTGTGGGCGCTGGTACTGCTCGCGGTGCTCGTGGAAGACGTCTGGAAGTGGACAGGTAGCATCACCACTCCAGCGTCCAACCCTGCACCGTTTGCACGTCGTGCCGGCCTTCAAGGCCTGTATCTTCGCTGGACGAGCCTGAGCTCGAACTGGGGCTTCTCCCTTTTGCCCTGAAGCCTTGCCGGCAAAGTAGGCCTTTTGAGGGTCTTCCAGATCCAAGCCTCCTTCAGCGAGGTACGAGGTGCTCTTCCGCCGTCGTAGTCGTAGTCCTGGTATCCCAGGTATCGTCCTCCTGGTAATCATGGTAATCTGGGTCCTCAACAGCGTGATCGCTGTCTTGCTCCAAGTAAGTCAGTGAGGAAGTAACGAAGCAAGCAACTAAGCAAGATTAAGCAAGCAAGCAAGCAAGCAAGCAAGCAAGCAAAGCAAAGCAACCCAAGTTCAAAGCAAAGCAAAAAGTGAGCGCGAGTGTGCTTCTGCCCTCGTCTTCAAGGCACCAGCCTGCGAACCAAACACTTGATCCTGCCTTCAAGGCATCTCGCTCGCGACGCAAAAGTGCCTTGGCAGTAGGCTGAGTTGAGCGAACATACTGCAAACATCGTGTGCTTCGAAACCACTTCGCAGCGCATGTGAAGTTGTTCAGCACCGACCCTGCAGAGCCAAGTCTCCAGCAACCTCGCGCTCGAAAGATCCGAGCTCTCTTTGCACCTCAGCACCGCAACAGCCACCAGAAGGTCTTGGAGTCTTAGGCTCTCGCGCAGTGTCAGGTTCATGGCCGATCCCTCCATGGAAGAACTGACGAAACTGAGTCACACGCCTTTTGCACCGCATGCGTCTGTGCCTCTTCCACCACAGGGCCCCGATCTCTCTCCGTCCCGATAGCATGTTTTGTTCTGCCAGTACATGTGCCTGTGACAGATGCACAAAGCTGTGCATTCAAGCTTTCCTTTGCGAAGCACACTTTGCAGTCGGCACCGAAGATGCGCAAGTTGCAGAAAAACGGGCAAGCAATGAGCTCAGGCAAACGCTCGTACCTTCGGACGGAAATAGCTACCTGCTGTTCAAGATCTTTCAACAACAACATCTGTAATTTCCGTCGATGCACTCTAGGGCCAGTCTGCACAGCTTACAAAGGCTTGCCCTGCTGTAAATTACAGGAAGCTGTTGAATTTGACTGGTCCGTCCTCGCGCTGCGCGAGTGACCAGAATGCAGGCTTCTGCAAGCAGACCGAGGACTGCGTCAGCTACCGGAAAGGTTTACCACCATCTGGCTTGACAGGCTGCTGTTGATGGCGCTCCCAGGTCTCTCTGCAGTGATTCGTGGGTGAGAATGCTGCACGCAACAGTTGCTGGCAGCTCAGCCCATCAACACCTGCGTGTTCATCGTTCTGGTGCAACCGCGGCGGTTTTGGGAGACAAGCTGCCAGCTAAAAAAAAAAACAAGATGCATCCAATTCCTCGTGTTGAGACTCTTGTCGGAAGATCAGTGGCTTCGGGCGACTGGTGCCGAAGCAGTAAGACTCCTCGACCCAAGCAATCCTTGACACAAGACTCTGGAACTCCAGAAAAGTGGCATAAATAGGGAAGAGCATCCTTCAGACGCCGGGCCAGCACTCTGTGTTTCAATGGATTGTGCATTCCTTGGGGATCTGATGGTCATCTGGATCTCCGAAAACTTCCGATCGATCTTACACGTTGTTGCACCAGCAGGACAAGCTTTTTTTGCAATGACGATCAGAGATAGTTCTGCTCCAAAGATGGCTTCTGCAGCCGGCAACGCTCTACAATGCTCTAAACACACATATTGCATGTGTGCACATATATATATATGGGTATGTACTTGCTTATTAACTACATCCATGTGTGCTATGTAAGCAAGGCTATACAATGAGTCAATGAGTATCATACGTCTCTGCTGTACGCCCTCCTCATGTGTCCACCGTTTGCCTGTTTGTAGGTGTCCCTACTACATTTGTAATTGATGCTGTACTTTGATACGACATGCAGCTGTGTGATGACCCGGATGAGGTCGCGCACTGCGTACACGACTGGGGATCAGAGCAATACTTGTACTAGGTTACTGTTGAAACTCACAGAGTTTGGGGAATTTGGGGGATATCGGCAAACTCCAACTAGACCCAAATCCGAGACTCGTGCGGATGTCACGACAGTTGTCCGACAATCTCTGCTCGCTTAAATTTTGACCGAGTGTTGCCCCAAAGCCGGCAGATCACCACATGCATGACACAGAATGCTGGCTGCAAAAAATCCAGCGCTTTGCAGATTGCAAAGCACGCCTTGCACAATTCATTGGCACGAATTGCAGATACAGAGTTGGTATGGAACTTCTGGTCTAGCTGGCTTAAGACAGAACGTTGCCCCACGTGCCCACAGAAATGCCGCCGGAACATCCACAAAAGCTCGCCAGCGCCCGTCTCAGGCAAAGCTCATGGCCTGATAGGAGACAGCCGAAGGTAAGCGTGCCATGCAAAGAGTGTGAGGAGTGCGAATATGTCGACTCAGAGGCTTTCCACGTCATTGCACCCTTGATTTTCCAAATGTGGCGGTTCACAGCTCAAGCAAGCCCGCCTGAGTAGTGGCGGGTCGATGCGACTTGCAGCCGCTCTTCCGACGTAGGCCCTTGCTGAAGGCTGAAGTTTCAGGGCTTGGCGAATTGCACATGGCATGGGCCTTTTTGGCATTCTTTCGATTCTTTCTCACCTGACACGGGAAGATGAGGAGGATTCCTCCTAGTTCTGGCCACTCTCAGTGGCGTTTTAACAGTCGCTAAAACACTGGACAACTCCAACTCCAACGGGTGCTGGGGAGCCTTCGGCCGCAGCGGCCACAACCGCGGCCCTGGCTCGAGCACATTTTGGAAAGGCGCGGGCAGCCTGGTCCCTGCTGCGCTGCCTGGCGCGCCTGGCGCGCCTGAGGCCTTCCTCCTGGCGGCAGAGAGCTTTTGCTGCACTCGCCTGCACACTCGCAGAAAACACCGGAGCCGCTCCTGGGGCTGGGCGGTGCTGCCAGGCGCCGCAGCGCCGCGCTGCGCTTCTCCGCAGCTTTCTGCGCCGCGACCTCGCCGGACACGCCAGTGCATGCATCGCATTCATCAATCGCAAGGAGGGAAAAGGGAGGGAAGGAGGTTGTCGCCTGAGACCCTGCTGCCCTTTCAACACTATTACGCTGCTGCGGGCGAGAAACACGGTAAGGGATTGCACATGACTCAGTTAATGATGCGGGCCAAGGCCAGCATGGATGAGAAAGGTCCGGTCAGAAGATCCTGCCTCCTCAGTGAGCTGTCTGGCCCGTGCAATTGCCTCCTGACATCAGATCTCAAAGCCCCGGCAGCTCGGGCTATCCTTGCAAAGCAGCTTCGACATATCCGTCCTCCATGGACTGCGGCATCATGGCCACGTCCTTGCCGTCCTGGCAGCTGTTGATTGGATTCACGAGCACCGGCACCGGATCAGGGACGAAACCGGGCAGGCCTCGCCACTCGTTGATGCGAATCGTCTCTGTGAGATTCTCCAAAGACAAAATGATGTTATGGAGCCCATTAAAGTTTGAGCTCGACGACCTACTGGCATGAACCAACTACTGTAGCAGGCATTTTCGGCTTTTTCCCTGCGACGGTCGCAGTCGTGGCATCTTCCGTCGCCGTTTCTTCTGCCTGGTTTGAGGAAAAGAATGAGTATTTAAACTTTAAACACTGGCCCAAGCGCAAACTTCTCTAAAAAAAGCCTCAAAGCTGCGGCACGAAACGCTCCGGCTAAAGCCAGGGATCGTCCAGGAGACAGGCGCCAAGTACGACGCCACGTCCCCGCCGGCGCCTGAGACGAACACCAAGGGGGAACCAACACAAAATCGACCCTTGGACCCACGCGCTGTCTCTAAGGAGCAAGCCCTCGGGTGGTGCCACTGACAGCGTGCCACCCTCAAGTGGAAATGATGTCGAAGTGCTGCCAGGCTCAACCTGGCAATGCAATGGAATTCCCCGGACCTGTCCTGACCTCACCAAAGTGGCTCGTCAACGGGTTCCATGCCGATTTCTCGGCTGCTGTCTCCCGAGCCTCTTTGGGCTGCACCGGCTTCGGGGAGGGCGACAGGACCTGGATTGAGCAGAGAGCTGTTCAGAAACACAGGAGCCCGAATTCAGAAATCGACGACGCCCAGACGCTGGGATCATAGGAGTTGCAGCATCGCTCGAGATCAGACCGACGTGCTGACTCACATAGACGGTGCTATATGGGCCAGGAAAGTCGACGCTTAGAGAGTCCCGTAGTGCAGCAGAGCATCGCAAGCTGAGAGTTGAGACTCCTGGGATCGGAAAGTGCGCTGGTCCGCGTGTACGTCCGCGTAAGTGCTCGGATGATCCCCCTGGCTCCTCCGTCCATCGCAGTTCTGCGGGAAGGGACGATGCATTTCCTGCCAAGGCACTGCAGCTGTAAGCGATGCTTTGCCTTTGCACACAGGCCAAAGCCTGGCTTGTGTCCCACCCAGATGTTGGCCTTCGATGTTGCCAAAAAGAAAAAGGAATGTGTAAAGGCCGCTCGTCAACTTCTGCAGCGAAGCAGCCAAAAAGGTCACTCGGAGACCACTCCGCACGTCGAGGTTCTGGACGCAAGCGCATGCCAGCGCATGCAAACGCACTCCGACGAATTCACTCTCTCTCGAGCCTCCGATGTTGGCCGGGAAGGAAAGCGTGGAGCGCCGTGAAGAAACCGGCCGTCGAAGACCAAGTGCCGACCGGCCCTGAGAGACTGCGACAGTGGAGCACAGCGGGGCAGCCGATCGAGCGCCTGGGTGGAACGACCAGACCGAGAGCTCGCACGCTCTTTCCCGCCGGCAGCGCCACCGGCACCCCGTTCTCACGGGACGTAGGGGAGAGCACATCCAGAGCGAAAGTGCCTTGGCCATCTCAGCCGATCTGCAGTTGCTGTGGAGTCAACTTTGCTGAAGTGTCGGAACGCATGCCCTACCCTGTAGCAAGTCCAGGCAAGGCTCAGAGTTGCCCGTTCGCGGAGCTCCCAGACCTGCACGGGATCTCCCGAACGTGTGTGTTTGTGAAATGCCGATACGTTTCCCAAGGTGCATGTCGCGACAAGCCTTCGACTGTTGCCGAGTCACGGAGGTTCTCCGGAAAGGTAGGTCACCGTGCCAAGCATCGGGTGGAGATTTACACCACTGTCTTCCAAGACATAGTCACGGTCCCAGTGCCAGCCGACATCTGCATCGCATTCCTTGTGAGACTCGTTCAGAAACGAATGCGAGCCCAGCCTTGAAATCCTGGTTTCTGGACAAGACACCAAGCATAGAGTCCACCACTCGACCCCGGCCGAAGCAGCAGGATCTGGACAATGACGATGAAGGATGGCCAACCTCGGGGCACGTACGCGCAATGCGCAGTGAATGCCCTACTGAGAGCAGGCCAAGTCACGCCAGCGCTTCGAGCTCGCAGCGCGGCTCCTGTTCTGCGCAGTGTGGGGTGCTCAATGAGGGGAACAGGTCCGCTCCTGTCCCCACTCTGCCCAGAAGGTCTTTCCAGAGCTATAGCCTCGAAGGCAGGAGTGCTCCTGTGGAAGTGTCACAAACCTCTTCGCAGCCGAGCAGCGCCCCTTGCTGGGTCGGGCCTCCAAAAAATTCACCAAAGCAACAAACAAAGTGAGCAAGTGCCGCCAATGCTCGCCTGGAAGGCAGCCTCTGCGCAGCGCCGCAGAGGGGACAAGCAGGAAGCGGCCAGGAAGGCATCGAAAACGCGGGCGCCCGGCTCGAAGGTCATCGAACGAGTCAACGGGCCTGGCAGACGTCACGTCGCTGACCTTATAAGACTGCACAAGCCTTCTGCCTTCTGCACTGCAGACGCGGCCATCCTCATCGACCAGCGCCGAGACTTCCTCCTCGCTCTCCTCCGTGAGTTGCGTGCGATATTCCACACGTGCTGTGCCTCGGCGGCTTCCCCCTCCTCTGCCTGCTCTCCCGCATCAGGTTCATCCTTCCACCAGGCGGAGTCAAGAAGAGGCACAGGCTGGCACGAGACCCTGCAGAAAGCACAGCTTTGCAAGTCCTGTGGCTCTGAGTTGCATGGGCTTGACATCCAGGCTCAATTGCGCGAGAGCTACAGGGGTCTCAGAGCCTGCCCTTGAGTCATGGCCCGACTGCCCGGCAGCTGGTTGTCACAGTCATCGTGCTCAGGAAAGCGTGGCAGCTGCTGTGCTGCAATGCGCAGAACTGACATGCGTTAACGTTGCTCTTGAGCCGATGCCTGAGGAGCGTCACAAGGAGAAAGACAATGAAACCCGAGTTAACCCGAGTTCATTCATTACTGTCTCCTCCGTGGTGTCACGACGAAGGCTGAGGAGCTGCATCCTCAGAAAATCCAACGCAGAAGCGCACACATATCAATGTAGGCTCCATCTGTCTCGAAGCCAGAAGACAGCAGGGAACTGACATGTCAAGGGAATGCGCAATGCGGCCATGCAGCATCTCCGGCTGCAGCTCTGCCTGCGCAGACGCGAAGCTCTGCGGGCCCATGGCATCCGCAAGGACTCGCTCACCTGGGCATGACACCAGCTGTTGCTTTCGAAAATCTCAGCTGCATGCACGCTACTGAGGTTGCTCATGGCTAAGCCGGCTAAGCTCAGGTTCAACAATCAATCCTTGCTAGGCCCGCTAGGCCCTGTGCGCATCTCCGCGGGCATCCATGAAATCTGATCTGATGGCACCCCGCGGGGTCCACTGCTCAGAGCGACCTGAAACCAACTCTGGCTTCGGGTCAAGGACTCAAGCAGCTTCCACAGGCTCACTTGTTGGCGAATCAACCAGCATGCTTTCAACCCAGAATATGGCCTGATTTTCCGTGGCCACGCCGCCAAGGCCCAAGGCAATGGTGGAGCCGTCCGTTGGCACACCGTCCCCACCTAGCGCTTGCATCAGGTCCACTTGTTCGCTCGTTTGGAACAGCAGGTGTGCTGACTGCCGATTCTACACGACTTGATCGGGAGCCATCACAAAGCTTCCATCACATCTTGCTCTCTGAGCCCAGGGCCGCAAAGCTTTCGGGGGTAGGACAGTACGCGAACAGAAGGTTGAAAGCCGACTCCACGCGAGCCTCCAAGCAAGCTAAGAAGCCCTGTAGCAGCTACACATAGCTACACTACACCGTAGCATCTCTAGCTACAGTTTTTTCGGGCTGTCACACGGAAACTCTCCTGCGAAACACCTTTGCGAGATTCTCACTCGTCAAGGTTTGGGCTGCCTGGAGGCTTGGAGGCGTCCCTCTCCCGTCCTGGGCCACTGCGCCGGCGCAGGCAGCCAAAAGCCGCCAGCTTGCGGCGGACCTGGGCAGGGAGGGTTGGACCTCACAACTCCTTGTTCCGACGCTGCCACCTGGCTGCCACCCGCCGAGGCCACAACGTATTTCCAAACGGTCTGTGGAGGATCTGGCCTCGAGCAAGTCATGAGATGCAAGCAGCTTCCCGGCCGTGCACGATTTCGCAAAGCTTGCTATCCCTTGCCTGGGAGGCCTCAGGAGCGACTTCAAAGGGCCAGCATCCTGGCAGCAAGTGGCACCGGGCATGCAGCTCACACTAGCGGTGGCCATCGAAACCCCGCCTTTGCTCTTACCTCGCTGCGAGACAGAGCCACGTGTGGCTGTGGGCGGCTCTTCAGCCTCTCATGGCAAGCGCACAGCGCAACGTGCGCAACTGCTGCTCCGTTAATAATGGAGCTTCTTGACTCAGGTGTCTGTTGACAGTGCTACTAGCACTACAGTCACTATACAGTGCCCGCATTCGCCGTGGAATAGTACTTGCACCCTGCAAAAAAACCGAGGCAGCCACATTTGGGGCTTCTGCACCTCAAGTTGGCGCAGTTTCCTGGACTGCCGCTGCCTCTTGCCATGACCTGCCAAAAAGTGAACAGCGAAATATGGGGCGGCTAGATCGGCAAACGAAAACGAGAAGAGGGACTGGCCCTTCCAACCGACAGAAGTCGACCCAACAAACAGAATCTGTCAGGAAAGCCAGGAATCTCTACCGAACGCAAGCAGGGTTAGGAAGCCTTCCACCACAGGCAGACTGCATGTCCAGGTGGAAGTGCCCATCCGCCTCATTGCGCGCGAGGCAAGTTAGGATGTCGTACGAAACACAGGCCAAAGGCCTCGCAGGCAAGCAATACAGATTCCAACGTGTGCCCCAAACAAACATAGGCAGACACCCTGTATTGGTACCAGGTGGCCTTGTTTCGCTCCCGCGTGCTGCAGAAGTGCGGGATGGACAGTCTCAAATCAATGCGTAGAGTGAATGTCGACTGGAGCCTACGTTTGCAAACGTCAGTCTTCAGTGGAATGCCTGTTGCTTTTGCATTAGCATTTCTCGGCGCTCTATTTTTGGATCAGTTTCGGTCCCTGCTTTGAAGCTGTACGCTTGACCATGTGGGCAGAAACAGAGATCTTCGCTGGAGCACAACGGCAGGGCAATGCGCACGGCTCCCGCGGTCTGAATGCCCTCAACTGGGCTCCGAACGCTCCTGCGGCAGACACCTAGATCTCTGGCGATGGGCCTCGTTGCGGCGGTAGCCGGCCTTCTTGAAGCCTTCTCGCAGGCGCTGCTGGGCCTGACACAGTGCGAAGCGACACGGGCTCCGCTGGCGCCCCCATCCAAGTGTCACCGACTCGCCTCCTCGCATCGCTGCCGGTCCTCGCGGCTCTTTGCCTCGCCTGGAAGCCCTTGACTTGTGCACTCCGAGTGTCACGATGTGTCGAGGGGTCCATCATACGCAGACTTCCGATTCTGAGAAGCCAAGCAAATCGCTTCGGTCGTGCCTTCGGCGATCTGCCTTCGAAGCTCCGCCAAGTCCTTCGCTAGACCTTTGGGATATCGCAAGCGATGGAGCATCGAAGTTCTGCAGGAGCTGGCTGCATGTTTTCTCGAACAGCGCCCTTCGTCCCGGACTTTGCGTCTCGTTCTGATGGCCTCGACAGGGATCTGGAGTGCACTGCGCACTGCTCAAACCGCGTGGAGCTTGTCATAGGCGCCCAGGCCAGCATCGTTCAGTTCACGCTTCAGAACCTAGCAGATGCAATTGTTGCAGCGAGAATCAGTGCACTGACCTCCTGTTCCGGGACAAGGGCCTTCAGCTTCTCTTTGGAGCTGTCCAGCTGCTGTGCTTGACTGGCACCACGAATCTCTTTACTTCTCAGGAGCTCTTGCAGACACCTTGCGTCTCAAACACTGAAGTTCAGCCCACCGATGGCACCTCATCCCATCGTCACTTTGGACGAACTTTCCCATGTAGGCCTGGCGTGCAAAGCGCTAGAGGCAAGCTGCGGCCATCCGAGTGATCCCAAACTACGAGTAACCTCCTTCAGCACAGCTGGCAAGTTCAGGTTCACCATCTGCAGCGGCAACCTTGCAACCCAAGACGTCCATGAGACAAAACCCTAAACTCCGTTGTACTGCTAACAGGCAGACCCTGTCGAGGCTCTCTCTTTTCGCCTCGACCTGCTCGACTGTGCTGGCGTTCTGTCTGCGAACGAACGGTTGGAGCAACAGAACCTGTTTCAACGGCGCGCTCGAACAAACCGCTGTTCGGACTGGTAAGTCGTCACGGCGGGTGAGGCGGGACTTGAAAAAGCTGCTGCCCGCACCGGCAAACACGAGGGGAACGGGCTTTGCCACTTGATGACATGATGCACACGTGCACAAAACGACCTAAACTCCGCTGTACAGCTAACAGGCAGACCCGGTCGAGGCTCTCTCTTTTCGCCTCGACCTGCTCGACTGTGCTGGTGTTCTGTCTGCGAACGAACGGGTCCGCGCACCTTGCCCCACCTCGGAGTGCGGTGGTTAGGCGAACAGGCTCTCCAAGACTGTCTAGTAGTCCCACACTGTCACGTCCGCCGGAGCTTCTGGTAGTCGTGAAAGGTCGGGCCAAACTTTCTCGAACGAGGACTGCAAGCGCTGACAGCCGAGGTCGTCCGCCTCTGAAAAATCTCCCCGAGACACCTTATCGGAGAGATTAGCCTGACTGGTAACTCGCTGAAAACTCACGAACCAGCCCTGCTTAGCCACCGACAACCAAAACGAACTTATCAAACAACACAGCGCTGATTTTTAGAAGTCCCTTGGTTTAGGGCATGCTCAGATGCAATGTTGCCGGACGTGGTCGCGGTTTGCGGACAGGAACTCGGACCGGGACGGAAGTCGGAATACTAAAATCAGAACTTGCTGCCCAACCTGTGTCTGGCGCCAAGGTGCCAACAAAGGAAAACCCCAAAACAGCTCTGTTACTAACTGGCGATGGCCACGGAACTGCAGCAAGTCCAAAAGCCAAGTCAAGGCCGAGTAAAGGCCAACAGGCGGAGTTGAAGTTTCTGGTGTCCTCCTCGCTGGTAAACCTGGCGAACGTGCGCAGGTGCGGTGAGAAACCACGGTTCTTGTTCGTCCTCCAACTCCTCCACCAAGACGGCATGGTCAGGTGACCTTCACCAATAACTGCGGCACCCAGGCATCGCGAGGGTCGAGCTGCTGAGGGTTGGCCGTCTTCACCGCCGCTTTGGAGACGGGGCCTGTTGCGGCGGCGGAGGCCACAAACCTTTGGTGGACCTGCTAGGAGCCTTAGCAGGCGGCTGTCTCAGAGGGGGCGTAGCGGACAGGTTTATGGGAGGAGTCAACTTGGATCACCTCCTCAAGCGGCGCGTCCACGGCTGCATCGTCGAACAGGGACACCGCCAACACCTTGACATTGTAGAAGGCCTGCGCCCGAGCCCTGGACTTGAGCCGTAGCCGAGGATACCGCATCCGGACGGGTTTCCCCCCTGCCATGCTCATCCGAGCGGCTCTCGACCGGGTCGGTCCCTGCATCAGCCATGGCTGCGCGTGGAAAAAAGCTATTTGAAAAAGCTGCTGCCCGCACCGGCAAACTCGAGAGGTAACATCGTCTAACGGGTTTTGTCACTTGATGCACACGTGCACAACCATGCAACTTTACAAAGCCTTGTAGCACAGCGTGTTCGCTCTGAAAGTCCCTGAGCATTGCACTGCGATGTCTCGTCGTGGGCTTCACCCACAGCAACGACCTTCAGAACAAGAATAGCTTTCTAGGTTCAGCTAAGGTAAGCCTGCCTCTGCCATGAAGCGCAGGAAATCATCCAAATGCCGCGAAAGCCTGGTGATGAAGTAGTTGGGACGCTCTTCCGAACTTCCGGACATGTGTCAAGTCTGTCGCCCCCTGCTGCTCTCTGCTGTGCCTGCGCGCCGACCTGTTGGCGGCCTCGGGTGCTGAAGAAGTCCCCGCCCCTGGCCGTGCCTTGCAAAAATCGAGTGGTCTAATTTGAGAATCCCCTTGTCGACAACTTAGCGTATGAAACAGTCCCATGCTGGGAGCCGGAGTCGTCATTAAGATCGCTGCACGAGCTTCGTATCTGCCAGCCGGACTGTTTGACTTGGTCCCGTGCAGTGGAAGAGCGAGAGGACTTGGCAATGTCGGTGTATGCAACTGGCAGCCAGCTGGGCTGCAGGATAATGAGCATTTGCATCGATGCAGAAGCAGGCGGCGATGTGCTACTAAGCAACGCAGCATGGCAGGACTCAGAATGCGCCGACTCCAACGCACAGCCTCGAAAGTTGTTGGCTGACTCCTTAGCGGCGGAGCGAGCATACCTCGGGCAAAGTCGCCCATGCGCTCGATGGCTCGTAAATGCTCTTCAGACTTCCCTGTGGCAGACTGAGACCTTCTCTGAGACTCCAGGCTCCTGAACATCACGCAAGTGCCTGCAGGAGTCGCAGAGACTACTGTGAGTGCGAGCGCATGCTGGTGTGCACCTGCCTTAACCAGTCGAGCTTCTCTTCTGCTGACTTGGATTGCACCTGCAGCTTTTTTTGCGGCTCGGTTTGCACTGCCCAAATTTAAGCCGCAATTCGGACGCCCGTTTTGGCCTTCAACTGCTCCTGTTCGGCTGAGAGCTGGTCCTCCTCTCTGGTCAGCGCCTCGGGTCGCTTCATGCAGCTTGGGCAGCGGTGGTGGCTCTCCGACCGGGGCCTCGGTGAGCTGCACGCGGCGCTTCGCAGCCTCCGGGCCGGTCTCGCCTCCCGGCTGCGAGCACGTGCCAGCGGTGTCAACCCCAAGGCCCAAGCTCCCCATCATCCTGCCTTTCATGCGCGTCCTCTCCGCACAGAGAGTCTGAGCGTGGCGAGGCACGCAGTGAGAAGTGATGGGATCGTCAAGGTCAGATGTATGGAAATGGGAGGCCAGACCATTGCGAGCTCAGGGATCAATTTCAAGAATGTTTACGTGCCCAAGTGCCCTTGCCTCCAGGGTTCGCAGTGCCTCCTGAGCTTCCTCGGACACTCGGGCCGCCTCCTGATGCAGCACGGGAATGCACGGGATGCCCAAGAACGGCCATGGACAGCAAAGCCCCACGCCTGCTCCGCCCGGCTCAAAGCATGCCGTGCCTGCTGAAGACCCTCCTGAAGGATCAGGACGAGACGCTACTTGGACATGCCCACGCCGTCCGCGGTGAGGCACTAGGCCTTGATGGCTTCGGCCCGCGTCCCACTGGCTTCGGCATTAGCTGCTTCAGCCTCGGAAAGGCTCTTCATGCTTCATCTCCACGTCGTCACTCTGCTGCACCGCGCAAACCGTTTTGGCTTTACATAACATGCGCCCTGCATGCAGTATGGATGCTCTTGAATTGCTGTACGAGACAAGGCATCTTTAAATGCCATGCATTTGTCTACCGCTGTACACTTGACGCAAGGCCCGGCTTGTCTGTTGCAAGTCAGCATGCCAAGCAGAATAAACAGAAGCAGTTCCATGCAGGGGATCTGTGCAGTCTGCTTCTGGCAAAAGGTCGTCACTGGAAGTGCCAACCAAAAGTCCTTGGATGCTCGCTGGTGCCGCTAAAGTGCATGATGAGGCAGCTATCTCATGCTTTTGCAGACTCAGAAGCGACTCAGAAGATCTGCAGGCTTCCCTAATACACACATGATGGGCTGAGACTCACGACTCCGGACTGAAGTCCGCGGCGATCTACGCAATCATTTGGAGCTGCCGCAGAGGCCTCACTGCAGAGAAGACGTGAGAAGACCGCTCTGGCAGAGCCCCTGCTCCCTTGAGACTGGCCAAGGCAGCCAAGGCTCAGCGGCAGAAACTCCGGCAAGGACAGCAAAGTATCTTGCACAGCAGCTCCTGGGTCCAAAGGCCATCTCTCCGGTGGTGGAGTGAGAGTCCAGTGCTGCCCAAGAGGCACAGCCCATGCGCACCAAGCAAGTGGCGCAGCACGTGATGACCACCACCACGCCTCGGCCGGCCGAGAGCCGCGGTGTCGCTGACTCGAAGGGGTTTCAGCTGAGAAGCCGATGGCCAGAATGGGCCAGCCCCACCAGGGCATCTCCCGCCTCTCCGAGTGCTGCAGAGTATGCTGTCAAGGGTCGACTATTTTTCCACCAAACCCGGAGGCGCATGATCCCTCTGATGTGATGCCACGTCTTGTAAGTCTTCGATCTATCTTCTGATTTCATCTCGCCCATACAGCTCAGCTACATTGGAGTTTGGGCATGGCATGCCGACGCAGTGACTGATGCCGATGGGAGCTTTTGGTTCGCATGTGCGCAGCATCGTACAGTGTGACTGTTGGCATATGCGCCTCATGGTTTGCCACGCTTGCTTCACGGGACGTTCGCAACATTTCTTGACAGACTCAGTCCTCGGAGTTCAAAGGCAGGCTTCACGCACTGCGATGAGAAACTCCTGCAAACACCACACTCCACAAGCTTGGCTGGTCGTGCCAGGGTGCATGTTCTGATGGAAGATACCCTCGACGCACTCTTTGTAATCCTCGGTCCGTGCGGTACGGAAGCAATTGCACGATAAATTGGACTGCCTACATTCAGAGCCAAGACGCGAAGTTCTCGCAAATCGACACGTCGTTCGCAAAGGTCGCTTCAAGCATCCTGACATATTCGGCTATTAG